AAAGAGCAGCTGGTGAATTCGAACTGCTGACCTTTTGGTTAGTAGCCAAACATTTAACCACTGCACCACCAGGGCCCCATATATACATATGTGTGTGTGTGTGTGTGTGTGTGTGTGTGTGTATACAGAGAGAGAAAGAGATTTATATCAAGGAAATAGCTCACACGGTTGTAATAAAACAAACAAAAAAATCCCTGCCATCAAGAGTCGATTCTGACTCAGCGACCTCATAAGTTTCCAAGGCTGTAAATCTTTACAGAAGCAGACTGCCACATCTTTCTCCTGCAGAGCCGCTGGTGGTTTTGAACCGCTGAATTTATGGTTAGCAGTTGAGCGCTTCAACCACTGTGCAACCAGGTCTCCCACGCAGTTGTAAAGGCTGGAAAGTGCCAAGTCCATGGGTCAGGCATCAGGCTGGAGGCTTCTCCTGACTCACGTAGCTGCAGGGGCTGATGAACCCAAGATCAGCAGGTCAGACAGCAGGCTGTTAGCTCAAGTCCCAAGAACCAGAGGTCAGATGATGATGAGCTGGATGCAGGATCCAGAGTGAGCAAGTCCAGGGAGCTTTGCCGGAAAGTCCATATATATTGGATGCAGGCCACATCCCCAAGGAAACTCCCTTTCAACTGACTGTCTCCCTTTCAACAGACCTCATCACAGAGGTGATTACATTAAATCAGATCTCATCATGGAGGTGATTACATCATTACATAACTGCTAAACTACATCATAACTGCCAAACCACTGAGAATCATGGCCCAGTCAAGTTGAAACACAACCTTAACCATCATAGTAACCAAAAGACTTGAAAGTAGGGACTAAAACTGATACTTGTACACCAATGTTCATTGCAGCATTATCCACAATCGCCAAAAGGTGGAAACAACCTAAATGTCCATTAGCAGATGAATGGATAAACAAAATGTGGTCTATCCATTCAAGGGACTATTATTCAGCCATAAAGAGACATGAAATTCTGATTCATGGATGAACCTTGAAAGCACTATGCTAAGTGAAAGAAGTCAGTCACGAAAGGACAAATATTGTATGATCCCACTTATATGAACTAACTAGAATAAGCAAATGCATAAAGAGACCGAAAGTAGATGAGGAGCTGGGGGGAGCAGAGAAGAGGAGTTATTGCTTAGTGGGTACCGATTTTCTGTTTAGGGTAATGAAAAAGTTTTGGAAACAGTGTTGATATATATACAACATGATGAATGTAAGTAATGTTACTGAATTGTACACTAAAAAATGGTTATAATGGCAAATTTTTTTGTTATACATGTTCCACCACAATAAAAGTTAAAACCTGCTGAAGTCAGAGAAAGCTTTGACAAGATTAAAGGATTTCTCGGACAGCCCCATGGAGCTTGAGAAACATGCTTTTTACGAACTGCCACAAATCCTCTCTGGAAAGAGACAGCCTGCAAATAATAACCATAACTATGGCATACATAGCCACCAGTTTTGAGCACCAACTGTACACCAGGTGCTGTGCTAGATGCTTTACATACATTATTTGATTCACCTTAAGAATAAAGCATGTTTATGAAACTCACAGCCGTTTGCAATTTTAGAGTCCTATTTGGAGCATAAGGTCCCTGGGTGGAGCAAATGGTTTTGCTCGACTACTAACCCAAAGGTTAGCGGTTTGAACCAACCAGCAGCACCACAGAAGAAAAGCCTGGTGATATGCTTCCACTGTGAAGATTACAGCCAAGAAAACTCTATGAGATCAGTTCTACTCTGTAACACGTGGGGTCACCATGAGTTGGAATCGACTCAGTGGCAGTGGGTTTTGGTTTGGTATCCGGCATGTGACAGTTTCTAAGTGCCTTTAAGGGATGTTAGGTACAAGGATGGGGAACTACATCTACAAAAGACATTCTAGGGCCAGGTGCTTGACCAACCCCATCCATTAGCCCCATTCTATAAGTGAGGAGAAGGCTTACAGTGTATAAGTCACTTGCTGTTATGGGTTGGACTGTGTGCTCAAAAAGGTATGTTAAAGTCCTAACCCTGTACCTGTGAAGGCAACATTGTTTGGAATGAGCTCTTTGAAGATGTTATCAGTTAAATTAACATGAGGTCATACTGGAGTAGGGTGAGTCTCTCATCTTGTGCTGTTCAACATGGTAGCTGCCACTAGCCACATGTGGAGCCCTGGTGATGCAGTGGTTAAGAGCTTGGCTGCTAACCAAAAAGGCTGGCAGTTCTAATCTACCAGCCGCTCCTTGGAAACCCTATGGGACAGTTCTACTCTATCCTATAGGGTCACTATAAGTCAGAATCGCCTCGATGGCTATGAGTTTCATTTTATGAGCCACATGTAGGGGCCCTGGTGGCGCAACAGTTAAGCCCTCGGCTGCTAACCAAAAGGTTGGAGGGTCTAATTCAGCTAGCGGTCTGCTCCCATGAAGATTACAGCCAAGAAAACCCTATCGGGCTGTTCTACTCTGTCACATGGGATCACTATGAGTCAAAATCGATTCAATAGCACCTGACAACAACAGCCACATATGACTGCTGAGCACTGGAAATATGGCTAGCCCAGATGGAGATATGCTGTAATTGCAAAATGCACACCAAATTTCAAAGACTTGGGGTAAAAAAAAAAAAAAAAGAATATTTCATTAATAATTTATTTACATTGAGTACTTGTTGAAAGGATAATGGTTTGGATATAATGGGTTAACTAAAATATATTCTTAAAATTAATTTCGCCTGTTTTGTTCATCTGCCTTTTCATGCAGTTACTAGAAAATTTGAAATTGCATCTGTGGCTTGTACGATACTGCTCTTGGACAGCATTGGGTTATGCCATTAAATACATTCAATCAAGAAACCTTTGGGAAGGGCCGCATTTGTAGATTGCACTGTAGTAAGGGCGGTGCGCTGAGCAAGGGAGCAGAAATGGTTCTGAATGATGCCGTCCATTTCCTCACTGGAGCCATCATGCCTATAAGCTGCATTAGCCCAAGCATGAAAGAAGGAGCTCATTGTCCAGCCCCCATCCCAGCTGGAAAGCTCTATTCCAATTAGAAGGGGGAGCATCAGTGTCCAAATCTAGTGATCACTTAGTGCTACCTCTCCTATTTATAGATCAACCAGCTGTATGGTGTGAGGCAGGACTTCACCAGAGAGGTTAAGACACCTATCCAAGACCACACAGCAGATTCAGGACCAGCGAGTGCCCATTGCAGGGGCTTCAGAGCTCCTGCACATTGCACCCTCAGCCTTGAACCTGGGTCTCTCTTCCCATATGGACACTCCAAAAACTTATGTCCCACACAGCACACAGGACCCTTGAGAACAAGCCTCTGAAAGTCGAAATGCATGCAGCAGCGTCTCTCACGTTTCAGCAAAGAGAAAATCTACAGGAACTCATCCTCAAGTCCTTTCCCACGTACATCACCTTCCTGAGTGCAATTCCCCAACTTTATGAAGGATACATTCACAGCTCCCTCCAGGAGGAAATGGAGAACGGGGCTGAGGAAGAAAGGGCTCAGCCCCTGCCTTCCAGCCTATCCTGCCCTGGATGCCATCCTCAGCCTCACACCTCTGGGGTCCAGCTGTGCCCCAGTAGTTCAGTTGGACCAGAACCTGTAGGGACTTCCTCCGCACCAGGAACTCAACAAGAACCTAGAGGTGAGGAGCACATTGATGTAAATACAAAAGTGATGCCAACATGTCTCCAATTCACCACGACTGGAAGGCTCAGCACACACCAGCTCACGCTGCCCAGGAAGGCAGGAGACCCAGCAGGGAAGGTGAAAGCTGATCAGAACAGAGCAGGCTGTGTGCTCAGGGGCTGCTCTCAGTGAGAACCACCTGTCCTCTGAGAACACCACTGGGGGCTGAGGGGCAGCTTTAGAAAACGGTTTTCATACCAGTTTTCAGGAGTAATAGTGACTCCCACCTCCACACCCCAAAAAAAGCATTGCCAAAGAAGTCGATTCTGACTCATGACGACCCCATGTGTTACAGAGTAGAACCGCTCCATGGAGTTTTCTTGGCTGTAAACTTTACAGACACAGATTGCCAGGCCTTTTTTCTGCACACCACTGGATGGGTTCAAACCACCGACCCTTAGGTTAGTAGTCGAGCACAAACTGTTTTTGACACCCGGGGACCTCTGAACCCCACCCCGCACCGTGGCCCTGAATTGAGCATCAAAATCGACAGGAAATTGATTTCGGCTTGGCAATCCGGTAGGACTATCTGTCATCACCATTTTACAAGAGAAGAGACCAAGGTCCTGAGGAGACCCCGGACCTCGCGCTGTGAAAAGGCCAGGATGCACAGGCAGCTCTTCTTGGGTCCTGGGCCTCAGTTTCCCCACCTGAAAAGAGCACTTGCCCATTCCTCCAGCTAGATGTAAGGGACAACAGAGAAGGTGGGTTTGGACGCCCCTTATCATTACCACAATAACCGCTAATAGTGATTGAGCAATCGCCCTGCCCCAGGCACGGTGCCGAGCGCTTTCCAAGAATCGGCTCATTTTATCCTCACAGGGACCCTAGAGACGGGGACTCGCATTATCCTCGTTTTGCAGATCTGGAAACTGAGGTTCAGAGGTGAAGCGACTCGCCCAAGGGCACACTGATGAGAGGAGGCGCTGGGAATCCTGGACGTCCCAGTGCAGGGCGCACAAACCTGGTGTGAATACTACTAAAAATTACAAAGACGATGCTGTTTGAGGTTTGGATGGCTTTGTTTTTCTGCTCGAGGTCAGTGGTCCATTGAACAGCTCGAATTCTCTGAGTGGCGGTAAGGACGAGCCGACGACCCAGGGTGCCCCGGACCCCGGCGCGCCCCTAACCTGCGCGCCCCTAACGACCCCGCCGCCCCACCCAGCCCTACCTGGCGTATTTCGTCTTCTGGAAATCCAGGAGCCTCGGGGCGAACATCGCGGCAGTTCCATCAGAATGCAGGTTTGGGCTCAGGGACCGTGAACTTGGAGAGCACTAGAAGCGCGGCGGCCGCGCAGCAGGTGGATCGCGAGGCGCGCGGACCCCGGGGCGCCCAAGACGAGTCCTAGAGGAACAGGCGCCGCGAGGCCGCCGCCAGACCCCGAGCAGACGGTGCGGGCGGGGCGCGGGGCGGGGGTCCCGGCCGCGCCGCCAATCGCCGGCATCCGGGGCGGTGAAGCCAGCCCTCCCGGCCGCCCCGCCCGCGGACCCTCCCAGCCGCCTGCGCCCAAGGGGAGGGGGCTCCGAGCAGCCTTTTGGGCGTCCTTTCCCATCGCTCCCCCGCCGCCTGCGGTTTTCTGAGCGAACAGAGACAGAGAGGACGGCTCCGGCGCCTCCGCCTTTCAGCACCCCCAGCATGGGCCGGGTTTCTAAGTGCGCCTGTGCCTCCCACGACTCCCACCCCAGCGCCTCCGCCTTTGCAGCCCTGGGAGACGCGACCTTCCAGGGGATCCGCGAGGGACCGGCCACAGTCTCTAGGGAGCCGCTCCCCCTCTGAGGGTGTGACTCGGGAGCACTCATGACCCCAGGCAGGCACCTTGGCGTCTGGGTACCAGATTCCAGCGTCCCCAGGATCTGTCCCCCGGATCCTTTACAAAATCCAGCTTTCTCGTCTTTGGAGGCCTTGGCCTGGGTTGTGGGCTATAGGAAACCAGGCGCTGGGAAGGTTAGTCCCTGGAGTGACACCCCCAGGGCTCCTTCAACATGGAACAAGTGTCAACGCGGGGGGGGAGGGCGGATAGGGACCCAAGGCTCCTCGCCCCCACCACACACAAACACCTTACCCTCAGTCCCTGCTCACCCTTTCCTTTCTAGCCCCAGCTCCCTGCTACTTTTTGTAACAATAACTTATTTGAGATCCTACTACACATTCAAAAGATGATCCCTCCCACGCTCCTCCTGGGCCCAAAGGAGCTGGGGTATGATGAAGGAAACAGAGACAGAGGGGAGGACAGGGGCTCCAACGAATTCATTCTGAGTGTCTGTTACAGGGGGCATGCAGACCTCTTATTGATGAAGATCAGGAAGGTTAGAGGTAGATGTGTTCAGAGGCACCTGCAGGGCTCACAGTGAGAGGGTGGGAACTGGGGGGAGGCAGTGTGGCGGAGGTGGGGAGAAGAGGAGGGCTCCAGGGACACTTAGGAGGTAAAATCCACCAGCCCCTGTTGATGGGCAAGAAGTAGGCGATGAGGGGAGCAGAAGAGTCAAAGGTGACCCTTGGTTTCTGGCTGGCCCAGCTGGGTGGGTACTGGTGGTATTTGTTGTGGTGGGGGCACCAGAGAGGAACACAGGGAGAGGAGGGAAGATCATGAATTGGGTTTTGGCCAGGTGAGGTTGAGGTCAAAGTTATCGTTGTTAAAATGTAAAACACAAAATAATAAATGCTGGAGGGGTTATGGAGAGACCGGAACACTTATGCACTGTTGGTGGGAATGTAAAATGGTACAACCACTTTGGAAATCGATTTGGCACTTCCTTAAAAAGCTAGAAATAGATGTACCATACGATCCAGCAATCCTGTTCTTTGGAATATATCCTAGAGAAATAAGAGCCGTCACACAAATAGATATATGCACACCCATGTTCATCGCAGCACTGTTCACAATAGCAAAAAGATGGAAACGACCTAGGTGCCCGTCAATGGACGAATGGATACACAAATTATGGTATATCCACACAGTGGAATACTACGTGACGATAAAGAACAACGATGAAGCCGTGAAACATCTTACAACATGGGGGAAGCTGGAGGTCATTATGCTGAGTGAAGTTAGTCAGTCACAGAAGGACAAATATTGCATAAGACCACCAGTATAAGAACTCAAGAAAAGGTTTAAACACAGAAGAAGACGTTCTTTGATGGTTACAAGGGTGGGGAGGGAGGGTCAGTGTTATTTACTAACTAGATAGTAGGTAAGAATTATCTTAGGTGAAGGGAAGGACAGCACACACTACAGGGGAAGTCACAACAACAGGACTAAACTAAAGCTAAGAAGTTTCCTAAATAAAATCAAACATTTTGAGGGATAGACTAGCAGGGGTAGGGGTCTGGGGACCATGCTTTCAGGAGACATCTAGGTCAATTGGCATAACAAAGCTGATTAAGAAAATGTTCTGCATCTTACTTTGGTGAGTGGCGTCTGGGGTCTTAAAAGCTTGCAAGCAGCCATCTAAGATGCATCAATTGGTCCCAACCACCTGGAGCAAAGGAGAATGAAGAACACCAAAGACACAAGGAAAGTAGTAACCCAAGAGACAGAAAGGGCCACATAAACCAGAGACTTCATCAGCCTGAGACCAGAAGAACTAGATGGTGCCCGGCTACCACCAATGACCTCCCTGACAGTGAACACAACAGAGAGTCCCTGACGGAGCAGGAGGAAGGTGGGATGCAGAACTCTCAAAAGTTCTAGTAAGAACACCAGATTTAATGGTCTGACTGAGACTGGAGGTACCCTGGAATGCATGGCCCCTGGATTCTCTATCAGCCCAGAACTAAAACAATTTCCGAGGCCAACTCTTCAGACAGGGATAGGACTGGACTGTGGGACATAAAGTGATACTCATGAGGAGTGTGCCTCTTAGCTCAAGTAGATACAAGAGACTAAATGGGCAGCTTTTGTCTGGAGGTGAGAGGGTTAGAAGCTGGTTTAATGGACATGGGGAATCAGGGGTGGAAAGGAGGAGTGTGCTGTCACAGTATAGGGAAAGCAATTAGGGTCACATAAAAACGTATGTATAAATTTTTGTATGGGAAAAAATTTAAAAATGTTATTGTTGTTAAAACGAGACTAAAGCCCAGTGGCAAGGACTAGATGTCAGGAAAGGACAGGAAAGCTGGTAATAGAGAACTCAAGGTGGAGAAAGGAGAGTGTTGACATGTCGTGAGGTTGTTAACCAATGTCACAAAACAATATGTGGGCTAACTGTTTAATGGGAAGCTAGTTTGCTCTGTAAACCTTCATTTAAAGTACAATAATTAAAAATTAAAAAAAAAAAAGATTATTGTTGTTAGTTGCTGTCCAGTCAGCTCTCACTCGTGGCAACCCATGCAAAACATTGCCCAGTCCTGCATCATCATCACAGTTACTGACATGCTGAAATCCATTGTTGCCTTCCAACCTAGGGGGCTCATTTGCCAGCGCTATAACAGGGGCGGATTATCCAATAGGCAAGGTAAACACAGCATTTACCTTTCTTAACAGATCATCTGTAGTGAACAATTTCACATTGTTTCACCACATCAAAGATTCTGCTTCTAGGTATGGCTGGTATCTGTCTCTCTCCCAACCGCACAGCACCTACCCACAGAATCAAAGCCTCTTTTCACCCCTGACACTGACGGATTACCCAGTAAGCACAGTAAGCATGGGTTTACTTGTAAGTATTTACTAATCTGTAGTGAACAATTTCACGTGGGTTTCATGGATTAGTATTAGTAAGTACACACAAGTAAGCCTGCGCTTACCTTGTTTACTGGGTAATCCGCCTCTGGCTATATAGGACAGTATTCTTTGGCTAATTTTCAGAAGTAGATCACCAGGCCTTTCTTCCTAGTCTGTCTTAGTCTGGAAGCTCCTCAGAAACCTGTCCACCATGGGTGACCCTGCTGGTATTTGAAATACTGGTGGCATAGCTTCCACCATCATAGCAAAATGCAAGCCACCACAGTACAACAGATTGATAGACTGGTGGTACAGGTCAAGGTTAGCATGAGACAAAAGCCAAGGGGCAGACTACTCTGGGCCAGAAGAGAGGTCAGAGTTAGAAAGAGACCCAGTGAGGCTTCAGCCTAGGGGTGGTAATTGGAGGGACTGCCAGAAGAACAAATGAATCTGTCTTGGAAGAAGTACAGCCAGAATGCTCCTTCGAAGCGAGGACGGTGAGACTTCGTCTCACATACTTTGGACATGTTATCAGGAGGGACCAGTCCCTGGAGAAGGACATCATGCTTGGTAAAGTAGAGGGTCAGCGAAAAAGAGGAAGCCCCTTCACAGGATGGATTAACACAGTGGCTACAACGGTGGGCTCAAACATAGCAATGACTGTGGGCACGGCACAGGAGAGGGTGATGTGCCTTTCTATTGTGCATAGGGTCCACTACGAGGCGGAAATGACTTGAGGGCACCTAACACAACAACATGGGGGCTGAGAGACCATAAGCTGGAAGCAGCCTTTAGAACAGTGTTTTCAAATTGCTCATCTCGACCAGCTAGACTAGGTGTGCCTTCCAATTCAATAGACACATACCACGTGCGACTACTTACATTTAAGTTGACATAATTAGGTAAAATTTAAACTTCAAGTGCTCAATAGCCTCATGTGGCCAGTGGTACCCTATTGGACCATTTCCATCATCTTAGAAAGTTCTATGGGAGAGCTGATCATGAAGTCAATTTAGGGGGTGGTGCAAACAGTTAACACACTTGGCTGCAAACCAAAAGGTTGGAGGTTCAAGTCCACCCAGAGGTGCCTGGCGATCTAATTCCAAAAAATTAGCCATTGAAAACCCTGTGGAGCATAGTTCTACTCTGACACCCATGGAGTTGTCATGAGGTGGCGTTGACTCGATGGCAACTGGTTGTTTGGTTTTGTTTTTACCAGCATTTTTTTTTTTTTTAAAAAAAGACTCACTTATATAAGTATCTAGAGTAGGCAATGCATAGAGACCAAAGCAGACTAGAAGTTACCAGGAGCTGGGGAGAGGAGGTAATGGGGAGTTATTGCTGAATGGCTACTGAGTTTCTGTTTGGGGTGATGAAAAAGTTTTAGCAATTGATAGTGGTGATGGTTGCAAAACATGGTGAGTATCAATACCACTGAATTGTGCACTTAAAAATGGTTGAAATGACAAATGTTTTCTTACGTATATTTCACCACAATAAAAAAGTGGTGAAAATGGCAAATTTCACGTTATATATATATTATATATATATATACACACACACACATATATGAAACATAAATGCCCCCAGCTCATGGCGACCCCACGTGTATCAGAGTAGAACTGCTCCACAGGGTTTTCGTTGGTTAATTTTCA